CATCTGTATATTGTGTTTCTCTAGACATTGGTACCGGAAAAAAAGGTCATCACCCATTTCGATATCACTCATACCAGTCAAATATCTCTAGATATCAATTTCGGTCGGATTCATTTCAATATTATACAACCAGTATTGGATAACCAATATTTCATACATTCGTACTTTGGCCAGTATTATTATAACTACAGTATTTAGATTTATTAGCCACCCCTAGTCTATCACACAGTTTGTATCACAACAAGTAGCTCGAATATGACGATCGGCGTCTTACTGTCCGGCTCGACCCACTGAAACTGTGTAGAGATGTTGCATCTCTGTGCATCTTCTACCGAATTTATCATGGGGAGTGCTCTGAAGAATTGTTCGGATTGATACCTGCTGCTGATCTCACCATCGTACAACCCGCCATAAACTAAAATTTTATCCCAACCATCTGGACGAGTGGCGGTCCTCCACCGTGCGTTTTTCAAGGCACTTTCTTCCACGCACAACCACCCTTTGGAATCAAGTTCCAGCAGCAGTATTTCCGAACCGATACAACAACATAACTTTCAAGAAAAGAGCATATTTCTTTTTAAAAGGCCGGCAGCACACCTGCAATGCCGTAGGTGTTGTGGGTGATCATGGGCGGCGGTAGTCACTTACCATCAGGTGAACCGCATGCTCGTTTGCCCCTGTGTTGCAAAAAAAAAGTAGGATTTTGCTCTGCAAAAAAAATGCAAAATGCGTGAGTAAATTAATATGGAACCAAAATGTTATGGAGTAAAAAACGCACTTGAATGACAAATGTGCATGGTATTAGTCGATCATGCACGGCCTTTTAACGACCATGTAATATTAGACACAGTGCATTTAAATAAATACAAATAATGTTAACAGAGATTTAAAAGAATAACTGTTGAGTTTCTTGCGGGCTCTCCTCTACAAATAACGATCTTCCGAACCCTGCAATAGATTAAAAAATGACAATTTAAAAGTGCTTCTAAACAAGTCTATTTGAACAAAGATAATTTAAATTTGTACTGTCCACCCCAAATAGTTAAAAAATTGGGTTCAAATTTGGCGACGTACACACGCCGATCGACGGATCGAATGAGTTGGCGAACTGAGCACAGAACAAAATGTCGCAAAAATCGGAATAAATGAAAATCCTTCTCTTTTCCAATTCAGTTACAAATGCAGGCGAATTAAAAGCTTCCTCCTTTCGGGAGACGCTTAATTATAAAAGATTTTATCGTGACGGATCACAAAGACCCGCGAATAAATACAGCTTAAACTAAGTAAGTAAACGAAGTTTACAGCCCTTCGCTTATCGTCACTGCCGCATCATGTTGTTAGAAATAGTTGGGCTAAGTTCATCTCAAGTTGGAGTAGGTGTCGCGTTTTAAGTGGCTTATAATCTAAGCGACCTTCCGAGGACGCTTCGCCTTCAAGTCTTATTGAAACTTTGCATAATAAACACCGGTACATTATTATAGACACAAATGTAATTATGTAATACGTTGGGTACTGCGAGTGTTACAATTACTTGGGTACCTCTTTATTCTTTATTGTACACAATGTAAAGAAATTTTATTTTTAACGTAATGTACATACATTATTGAATATGTTTAAGCTTTATATGCATTTAAAATAACAAAATTTTCATCGCGCCTCCGATAAAACTGTTTATAAATACTCCTCTCTATCCAAAGGTTGTCTGGAAGAGATCACTTTTATCGAAAAGGCCGTCCACTGTTTTCTCAGTGTAAACATTTCCTATAATTGTTTATATATATAATAAGTTTACTATTGTAATTTTTTGGAGTAAATAATAAAGAGTCTCTAGATCTATCTAGACCTATCTATCTAGATCTATCTAGACATAGACATAGCTTGTCTCTAATAAGAGATTTCTTCCAGCAACCTCTATTGTTTTCGTGTTTCTGCTATGAAGCAGTTATGTTTGCATGGCTGTGTTTCCGTTTGAATAGTGAAATATGGCAGTGAATTTACAGGGTACAGAGGAATAATATCCTAGTTCTCAGGAATGGCAATCCATGAAATGTATCATAGGCAACATAATATACTCTGTTATGTTCGACAGTCACTACTTTTCATCTGGTGGGCTGTCCGCTTGTTTACTATTTCAAATTATATATTTGCTGATACCTATAAATGTGATAGTGAGTTTGTATGAGTTTGTTTTGTTATTTCTATGTCCAGGCATAGAATTGACCATCCCTTCTTTTCCCTGTGGGTGTCTTAAGAGGGGACTAAGGGGACTTAATGGTCGAGGGATAGGCAGCAGCGACTCTCTTAAAACATCGCCTGCTAAAAATGGCAATTACTGGCAAAACCTCCCCAATATAGGGATGCCCTTATACAGGAGTGGACAGTTAACAGTCGATGTTATGATATTAACAACAATATTTGCATGCTCAAACAATATTTGCTCTAAAACTTAGAAGAAATTTTAAAGTATCTACATAAAAAAAATCATTTGCCAAACGTATGTAAGTGCATTACTTTGGAACAACTGTACTTATTTGGCTTCTGACACTTTTTTATTGCGTTTTTAATTGTCAGGACAAAGTTTGTATTGAAGCAAAATATTTGAAAAATAATACAGAGACAAGTAAAAAATTTGGGTTAAAAAATCGCCATATAAAAAAATGAGTGCGTGAAAGGGGAAATTTTGTTTAATTTTCTACACAAGTAACTTGTTTTTAATATTTCACTGGAGTTCGTATCAATGATGCCTGCTATATGGATTAATTATTAAACTCATCCAATATTCTCACAAGAAATTCTAGAACTTTCTGCGGTAGGATGTTGTGTAGGCTAATTAATAAATTCAACAACGAGTAGTATTGTTCTAACAAATTCTAGAACTTTCTCGGTTACAAACAAATATCTTATATATATAAATCAACGCTTTTGTTTTCCGCTTCAAATATTCCTAGTTTCGGCTTCTCATTTCAGTACGGGACATTCCAGCCGCTCGAGTGGCCTAGACTGTTACGTGTTATCTGATACACGCCTTCAATGATGAAAGTTTACTTGTACAGAACGTGCCATTCACTGAGCCCTGATCGCATAAAAATAACTCCATACGAGGGATCAAGTTAAACAAGTCACTGGTTACCAGGATACCCTTTCCCGTTTATTCTGTATAATGCAGATTGTTATCGTTCTAGATCGATCAATGTGGTCTTGTACGCTACAAAGTTATATTAGATTGATTAACAAGTTTCGGTACTGCAATTAACAGAGATTAGATATTGTTGTAAACATACAGACCGGCGGTGTCACGGACGACAATAATGTTTAAATTAATATAGTTAGGAAGTACTTATTACGTACACACACCTTACCGCTTACGTCCCTAATTCAATGAGGTAGGCAGAGATAATAAAGTTACAAATGCTTATATCCAAACAGACTTTCAATTCCTACATGCTCATTTTATCTTTTCTATTAACTTTAATACGTATGTTATCTATTTAGTCGATGTACTTTTAACATAGTCAGTATAACTGCTTTTAATAAAGGTAAGAATCTTCGGGATGAAGTCACTAAGTCAGCGTAGAAAGGTTATCTCTTAGGATCTTCTAATGTTGTTCAAGATTTTAAATGGCCTTATTTTAATACCTGATGTTCTTAAGGATAAACGCTTAATAGTACCACGTAATTTCAATATTAGATCTGCTAAAATGGTTAACACATTTTCAACATATGCTTGTCGTACTAACTTAGGATCCAATTCTCCCCTCAACAGAATGTTATCATCGTATAATAAAGCCGTAAACGTTGGCCATGATATCGACATCTTTGGTAATTCTTTAGTGTAGTTTACTAGACTTATTAATAATATGGATTGGTATTAGGTCTTTTCTAATTGTATAATTGTTACTTAGTGTACATTGACGCTTATCTGTGAGAGCTGTATACACCTTTAATTGATGTGTTCATATGGCCTTAAGCTTGGTAGTGAGGAGTAAGATGTTTTTGTTCAAGTAAACATACATTTAAGCAATTTTGAATAGTAGTTCTCTTTTACTTACTTATAACATTGTATATTAATTAATTGTTGTGAGCATATTGTTGGTGTGTCTTTTATAAATAAATAAATAAATAAGTAAGAGCCGATTTACGTTCAAAACTTATATATGGTAATTCTTCCCTCTAACTATCCTTTCCAAACGAACATTCAAATTTACTTCTTTTTTGCCATTACATTATCTTCCATTTAAACATCTATATTTACATTAATTTTGAATTCCATCTTTTAATGGACGCTTTTATAATTTACCATAACATAGTACGATAATATCGTACGATATACAATTATATCGTTACAATTAACGACATAAAACGAGAGCAATATATATGTTTTCGTATGAATGCGGTTTTATATTTCCATGCATGTCTATTATAATGTCATACCACAATATCGACACGGAAAATAAAAGAATCTCCATACAATTACGTAAAACTTGCTTTGCTATTGTATCGTAACGGTAAAATTGTACGATATCATATTGTGCTTTGATTAATTATAGAAAGCACTTATTGTTTGCATTTGACATACAAAACTATATAAAACTTATTTTAACGTAATAATATAAAAGGTGAATTAAATAGTAATTCGGTAAATATAAAATTATATCTTCTTCTTAGAATTCGGCAACTACCCACATAGGCATGTATGATGCCACATTTCTAGTTCACAACTAAGCAATTAATATAACACGAAGCTTTTGTTGAAAATCCATTAGCAGCTGACCCTTTGTAATTAATGCCGCAAACCGATTGAGACAGCGTGAAATAATTGATTATACTCGTGCTTCGTCCTCTAGATTAGTAACCTGTAAATTTAAGAAATATATAATGTAGTTACACGTAAGTGATACCACTTTGCACTGAAATGTGTAGGCACTATAGTTTATTGATTGATTTCCGTTTTTTTTTTTTTTTTTTTTTTTTTTTTTTTTTGTGGGTACTTTTTTGCTTGTATGGGTATTTAGGGCTGTGTCGCGCCATAGTTGCTTCATTCACGTTTCAGTGCTTAACCACAACGCACCTCTTGCTTATCTTTTTAATATTAGTTATTAAAAATGCCAAAAAGAAAGAATTCAGACAACGATCTAGATAATATATCCAAAAAGTTAAAAAAATTAGAGAAAAAATTAAAGCGTGCGCGGCGTCACCGCAATAGTGATAATAGTGATAAAAGTTCACCTCACTCAATATCCTCCCCGGATGCACAAACATGTAAGTACAGACATAAATATTTTATCTAAACATCTTACAAATTACGTTAATCATCAGTTTTAAGTAACTAAATAAAATATGCTCGCAACTATAATCGCAGTTGGGTAGTCAGTCATCTTGTCTTAAAATAAGCTAGATTTAACATGTACTCACCCTAGCGTGTTCGGTTGTGGATGACCGCAACAAACCTCAAATACAACCTACATTAAGTACATAAAAATTCAGTCGTCCACAGTTAAGGTCAATCTCTGGGACTGATCTGTTGTGTGACAGACTATGCCACCATGGCATGCTTTCAAGTCTTAATGGACTTACAAATAGCCTACCTAATCAGTCGTTGGGACTGTGTATTCAGGCATTTATACGGTGCTCCACAATAAGAACTGATCTTTGGATCTGATACCTTGCGGAATACACCTTGCCCGCCAGGGCAAACAAATCGTCTAATGACGCACCTCCCGTAAAATATGCTATCCTTATAATGGGTACATCGCGGTCGCTAAAACAGCATTCTTTTGGGCTAGATGCTCAAAAGAATGCTACTGCTATGCTGTGCTATATTAAATAAATAAGTGAAATAGTATCCTGAGAGATGAAATTTCATATTTGCAGTTCGGGATTTTTTGGACAACTCGAGCTCACCTAAATTAGACACGACGCCTCCCCAGTCTAAGAATCTAGAAGAGATAACTCCAATTTTATTGTGCGAGACAAATCAAACGGGGGATCTTGCAGCTATGCCACCGGCTGAAATTGAAATCGCCACTCACAACGAGGAAGACAATGTTGCTGAAAGCGGTGCACTTGACAGCATTGCTTTAGACATTTTGGGTGAAGACCCAACATCGATAACAGAGTATGGCAGCGATATTCACAAAGAACTTGCAAATAGGCTTGAACACATTGCGACTGATGGGCTAACGAAAGAGACCCGTAAAGAACTGTGCAGTAAATATCTAGTACCAGCAAACAGTAAAAAAATCGGCGCACCCCTAGTAAACGCTGAAATAAAAGCTGCATTATCGGAAGCCACAATAAAACGCGACAAGGGGATAGAAACTCGACAGAAACAGTTGGCTGCAGCTATATCGGGATTATCTGGCATACTCAATCAAGAACTAAATTCCAAAGATAAAGACAGCTCGCGCCTTAAAATTATAATGGACGTTACCCGCATTTTATGCGATATCCAACATGCAGAATCTGTCACTCGACGCTATCTCGCAATGGGAACTATAAAGAAAGATTTACGAGAACATTTAACCAACACTAAAATAGACAAATACCTTTTTGGCGAAAATCTCAGCGAAACGCTCAAAACCGCTAAACTAGTCACTAAATCAGGGACAGATCTAAAGATTAAAAGTCAACCTAGACCCAAGCCACAAAATCCTACCGGGAATTTAAACTACAGAGCTCCGGTCCCAGTTCGCAGGCAACAACAGGGACCACAACGGAGCCGCGGACCTGCCTCTCGTATGACGACGTCTCAACCGAACAGATACTCACAGAATCCGACGCACTCCAACTTGTCGAAACCATCGCAACATCCGCAGAAACCTGCGGGTCGTCGCTAGATTCGGTAAAGTATGCTGGTCGACTCTCATCGTTTTATAAGCAATGGGCACACATCACCAATGACCACACTATACTGTCATGGGTAAATGGGTATAAAATAAGGTTTTCAAATCCCCCCGTCCAGAAATATGAACCCAAACCCCATCAATATACCGACACGGAAAAAAAATCACTTTAATGCAGCTATAACAGACCTCATTAATATGGGTGCTATTAGTAAGTGTTCTCCCGATAGAAATCAATTTCTTTCTACAGTGTTTCTACGGCCTAAGCCCAACGGAAAATTTAGATTTATTTTGAATTTAAAAAGCCTAAATAAATTTATTAAAACCGATCACTTTAAACTTGAAGATTTACGCACTGCTGTTAAATTAGTTACAAAAAATTGTTTTATGGCAACATTAGATTTAAAAGACGCATACTTTTTAATTAAAATACATACCGAGTCTAGGAAATATCTAAGATTCTCATGGGAAGGAAAATATATGAATTTAATGTTTTACCCTTTGGGTTAAATACTGCTCCATACATTTTTACAAAAATTATGAAACCAGTTGTTAAACTCCTCCGCATGTGTGGACTCCTGTCCACAATTTATCTCGATGACCTATTTCTATTAGGACATACATATGAAGTCTGTAAATGCAACATTTCAATCTCTAAAAAATTATTAGAAAGTTTAGGCTTTATCATTAATGACGAAAAAAGTACCCCATCACCTGCAACAACATGCAGATTTCTGGGCTTCATTATAAATTCAAAACAATTCCAAATAACGTTACCTAATGAGAAAAAAGCATATATTAGAACGGAACTCATTAAGATGATAAATATAAAACGATGTAAAGTTAGAAAGTTTGCTCAATTAATAGGACTTCTTGTATCTGCCTGCCCTGCAGTCGAGTACGGTCTACTTTATACGAAACAACTCGAACGACACAAGTTTTTACATCTTAAAAAAGACCAAAACTACGACAAATATATGTCTTTACCCAAAACCTTATTACCAGATTTTAAGTGGTGGTTGAAAGGCATTACTTCATCCGTTAGGCAAATCAGAATCGACGAATATCATCTAGAGATATATACGGACGCCTCATTAACTGGATGGGGCGCAACATGTCGCGGCAATACAGCTAGTGGCTCATGGTCAAAAGATGAGAAAGGAAAACATATAAATGAATTAGAACTGATAGCTGCATTCTTTGGGCTGAAAATATTCGCCAAAGATCTCAAAAAATGTCAAGTATTATTACATATAGATAATTCCACCGCTATTGCTTACATAAACCGCATGGGTGGAATACAATTTCCTCACTTGACCAAAGTAGCTAAAGACATATGGAGGTGGTGTGAGGATAGAGCCTTATTTATCTACGCTTCATATATAAAATCTGCAGATAATGTAATTGCTGATGCAGAATCCAGGCGCATACACCCCGATGTAGAATGGGAACTAACCAATAAAGCCTTCCAGTATATTTGTAATCAATTTGGTACTCCACAAGTTGACTTATTTGCCAGTCGAGTCAACACCAAATGCAGTAAATTTGTATCCTGGCATAGAGATCCTGATGCCATAGCCATAAACGCTTTCACTATTAAATGGACAAATATATATTTTTACGCTTTTCCCCCTTTTGCAATTATATTAAAAACACTAAGGAAAATTATTTCAGATAAAGCAAAAGGTATTATGGTTGTCCCAAGATGGCCGACGCAACCGTGGTACCCTATCTTTCGCAAACTGCTCATTACTAATTCTTTTGTTCTTATGAATAATAATTGCATTGTTATGTCACACAGCAGCAGCCAGAACATTCAATCAAAGCTTACCCTGGAGGTCGGAGTATTGTGCGGACAGCATTACTGCGACGAAGTATACCGCCTTCCTCACTAGAAGTTATGATGGCATCACTCTCCAAGAACTCTTTTAAACAGTATGATGTACCGTTTAAGAAATGGTTCAGTTTTTGTCATAAACAAAAAATTAGTATTTATGAAGCATCAATTCCGTTCATCCTACTCTTCTTTACCGAAGCTTATAATAGCGGCTGTCAATATGGTACCCTCAATTCCTATAGATCAGCACTTTCGCTTTTATTAGGTCCCCATATAACGAAAGACGATCGAGTAGCTCGATTTTTTAAGGGCGTCTACAGACTTCGTCCACCTTTGCCTAAATACGACATTACATGGGATACAGCCCCTGTGCTTGATTGCCTTGGCAACATGTATCCTAACGAACAACTGTCTTTAGAAAACCTCACCAAAAAATGCGCAACCTTACTAGCTTTAGCCTCCGCGCATAGAGTACAGACATTAGCACTAATTAATATCAATAATATCGAGCACCAGCCAACTCAAATTTCAATTAAAATACCAAATGAAATCAAAACTAGTAGTAGATTAGGCGCCAAGCAGCCACTTTTAATTCTGCCCTTCTTTTCGGAAAAACCCGAAATATGCCCTTCCACAACATTAACTGCATACCTAAAAAGAACCAAAAATTTACGCCAAAATTTGGTTAATCTGTTTGTAGGATACAAAAAACCTCATAAAAACGTAGGCGCACAGACTATTAGCCGCTGGATCAAGTCCACACTGCATAATTGCGGAATTGATGTTTCAGTCTTCACGGCGCATAGCACTCGCCATGCTGCCACCTCGAAAGCATACAAGTGTGGTGTATCTGTCGATATGATTCGTAAGACGGCCGGATGGAGTGGCTCGTCAAATACATTCGGAAAATTCTACAACAGAATCATTATAAATAACAACAATGATGGCTCACTCGCGCGAGCAATCATAAATAATAATTAATAGGAATATATATATATATAATTTAGTTAATAAAATAATTCATATAGTAGGAAAGATGATTATTAAGTTAATATAATTATACTTATAATAATTAATGATAATTAGTGGTTACGGATTATTCTTGATAATCATGAACTCATCTAATTCTTTTTGATTAAACTCATATTTACAATAATATTTCGTTTTAATCTGCAATATTTTCTGAACCAACTCTCAAGGTCTACATTATATATTTCTTAAATTTACAGGTTACTAATCTAGAGGACGAAGCACGAGTATAATTAATGATTAAACGAACTTACACAAGTAAAGTTCTATCATAATTATACGAGGTGCTTCGTCCGAAGAGATTAGTAACACATCCCCCCTACCCTACCCAGAAAATAAGTTCAGAAAATATAAAGTAAACAAAAGCTCTAAACTGAATGAAGCAACTATGGCGCGACACAGCCCTAAATACCCATACAAGCAAAAAAGTACCCACAAAAAAAAAAAAAAAAAAAAAAAAACGGAAATCAATCAATAAACTATAGTGCCTACACATTTCAGTGCAAAGTGGTATCACTTACGTGTAACTACATTATATATTTCTTAAATTTACAGGTTACTAATCTCTTCGGACGAAGCACCTCGTATAATTATGATAGAACTTCACTTGTGTAAGTTCGTTTAATCATTAAATATTATAACAAAATATTGTAGTTAGGAATATTTTCAAATACAAAATCGATGCGAATATGTTCTACTATTCTCTCGTTGATGGTTTAAATAGAGTAAATATAAAAATAAATATAAATAGAGTAAAATAAAAATTTAAGAAATTAAACTGCACATTTGATAAATTCTTTCAGCATAATCCTAATCTCGCCTCTACCAGAGGGAGACTTTGTACAAAAGTCGATTGCTTGGGTACCTCTGTCCAATTCGTGTTTCTACCGTGAAGCAGTTGTGTTTGCATGGCTGTGTTTCGGTTTGAAGTGTGGAATATGGCGTGAATTTACAAGGTACAGAGGAATAACACCTGAGTCCTCAGGAATGGCAACACATGGGGGGTATCATGGGCGAAACAGTATACTCTGTTATGTCCATGGTACTGCTCATGTCTATAGGCAACGGTTACCACTTTCCATCAGGTGGGCCGTCAGCTTGTTTTCCATTCTAAGTTGTATAAAAAAATCCATTTCGTTAGTATTTTAATATACTTCATTGCACTAAAACATAGAGTAAAACAACAATTATAAACGATATAAGCTAAGGTGAACATATCTCTAAAAGAAGTATCTTTAGGCTTGCTAGTGAACACGCCTCATTTAGAGACGAAACACATGTCGCAAAACGTGCGTGGACGAAATGCTGATATGGAAGATTGTAGAACTTCTGATAGTAATGATGTGGTTCGAGTGTTGACGTTTACACACGTACTAATAGATAGATAGATAGATACTCTTTATTGTTTTCTCCAAAAGATTACAATAGTAAACTTATTATAAATATAAATAATTACAAGAAGTAATCACAATGAGAAAACAATGGGCGACCTTATCGCTGGAACGATCTCTTCCAGGCAACCTTTATGATATATATATCTGATGATCCTTTATGATCTATGATCCTTTATGATTATATATGATAGCGAAATTATACAAAATAATTGCAATCAAATAATTATTAGCACTTAGAGTCCTTTTTGTATGACCCCTTGATTCATTGCCGTGCCTGAAAACTTAAGCGTTTTATACGTTACCCTGTCATTGGTAATATTAGTAAAATAGAAAAATCTAAAGGGGTTTAAGGAACATAATGCAAATGAAAATCAACGTTACCCTGAAAGTCATCCACCAATCCCGTTTATTAAAATGTATTCATTAGTTTGGTTTTTAAATACAAGTAATTTATTTTACCACGATTAAAAACTATGTTTTTTTTATTTACGAGGTCTGTCCGGAAAGTTCGTATAAAAGTGTTCTGGAATGCGAGAAAGAGGAGTGGGGAGGCCAGGTAAGCGCAGGACCCCTTCCTTATGTCCCTAACAATGCTTCAGTTCTGGTCTGCGAGTTCTGCGGTGCGAACTGGCTTGTCACGCCATCTGTGAAGTTACCTCTTAACGAAACCCCGTCGGCATGGAGCCCGCTAAGAGCAGCGTCGTAATCAAGTTTCTCTCGAAACTCGGCAAGAATGGCCGTGAAATTTTTGCCGATCTCAGAACAGTTTATGGGGATGATGCTGTGAAGGAACCAACCGTCCACAAGTGGCTAAAAAGATTCAGAGAGGGCCGAGAAAGCGTTCA